CACACATATATACGCAAAATTTCTTCCCTCGATACAGTATATGAACACAAATGCACACATACACACATACACACACACACACACACACACACAACCCCCTTCCCATTTCTCCTTCCCCTCACCCCCCCTCCCCCTCCCCACGGCATTCCTCGACAAAACTGAAGTTGGGTCTTAAGTCAGGTCCTTCTAATGAAAGACCGAACTCGTGGGTTATTTACAGCCCTCATAAAATTCGGGATATTACCTGTTTTTAGTACCATACGGTCTTTTGTTATATGTGAAATGAGACGAGATGCGGCCTCACAATTCTTCTTTTTTTCTAATTCCCTTTTTTTTTTTGGGGGGGGGGGTGAGGTTCGAGATGGGGGGTGAAGGGGCGTGGCTTTGGTGTTATTGTAATTTCTTTTTTTTTTCTTTTTTTTTCTTTTTCTTCTTACTCTTATACTATTTTTTCTTCTACTTTTTTCTTTTTTCCTTTCTTTTCTTCTTCTACTTTCTTCTTCTTCTTCTTCTTCTTCTTCTTCTTCTTCTTCTTCTTCTCTTTCTTTTTCTTTTTCTTCTTCTTCTTCATTCATCACCACTTTCTTCACCCTCTACTTTGCAACAACTTTGACTTTTTCTTGACTGATTCTAACATTTTCACTCAGAAAGAAATAGGCGAAGGAAGGATGAAAGTTAATATAAGTTTTTTTTTTTCTTTCTTTCTTTTTAATTTCGTTGCATTCTGTCAACAATAAACGTAGACTTAACGGTCGTAAATTTAAACCGGGGATGTTACGTTATGCAATATTTCCACTTTTATCCGTTATCTGTTTTTCTTATCTTCGTTTTCTTTCCCCTTTTTCTTCCTTTCACTTTGCTCTTGCTCTTGATATATCTTCCTATATATGTATTTCCTTTTTTCCTCTTTGTTTTTTTTCTTATCGTCATTCCTCTTTATTTATCCTTTCTCTTTCTTCGCCTCGCTATCGACATTCTTACCCTCGCTCTTTCTCCCCTTTCGTTCTCGGCTTCCTCTTTCCCTCTTTTCTGCCTCCCCATCCTTTTCCCATCAGTATTCTCCATACTCACTCCTCACTCTTTCCTCTCTCTTCTTCCCTCTTCAGCTTTCCTTTCTTCTCCTTTCGCTCTCGAACCTTTCCTTCTATATAGCCTCTTCTCCCATTCCTTTTCCTCTTCCCCTCTTTAACCTTCTTTTGTCCAGTTTCCTCTCATCAGCTTTAGCCTTTTTTTCCTGCTCTCTCTTTCTTCTTTTCCTCGTCGTCTTTTTACCTCACTTTTCCCCTCTTCGTCTCAGTTTTCTTCTTATCTCCACCCCCCTTCTTCCCCCTCTCAAATCGCCTCTCATTCCTCCCCAACTTTCTCTTCCCTTTCCTTCTCTCTCTCTCCCACTCATTTCTTCCTTCTATTCTCACTCTCTCCCTTCTTTCTCCCTCTCGCTCGCTTCCTTCTCTTCTCCCTCTCGCTCTCTTCATTCTCTTTTCCCTCTCACTCTCACTCTCTCTCCTCCCTTCCTTTCTCCCTCTCACTCTCTCCCCTCCCCTCCTCTCATTCTCTCCCTCCCTTCCCCTCTCCCTCTCACTCTCTCCCCTTCCTTTCTCACTCTCACTTCCTCCCTTCTCATCTCCCTCTCACTCTCTCCCTCCCCTCTCCCTTGTTTGTCTCTGTATCTCTCTGTCTTTGTTTATGTCCCTGTGTCTTTCTCTGTCTCTGTCATTGTCAGTTTCTATCCCTAAATCTGTCTATGTTACTATCCCTGTCTGTTTATATCACATTTTATCTCTCGCTTTCTTTCTCCCTCTTCCTCTCACAACCGTTTCCTTCTTCCTCTCCATCCCCTTCCCTTTTACCTTCCCTTTCTTATATTCCCTCCGCCTTTCAATTCATACTCTCTCCTCTCTCCCTCTCCCTTCTTCTCCGTACAGCTCCCCCTCACTCTATTCCTTTCTCTTTCTCCCTCTCGCTCTCTTCCTTCTCTTTTCCCTCTCCCTCTCACTCTCTCCCCTTCCTTTCTCATTCTCACTCTCTCCCTTCCCCTCCTCCCTCTCACTCTCTCCCCTCCCCTCCTCCCTCTCACTCCCTCCCTTTCCCTCTCCCTCTCACTACCTCCCTCCCCTCCCTTCCCTGACCCCCTACCCTCTCTATATCATCAACATTAATTAAAATCGTTTCGATCAAGTTACGACTGCTAATCAAATGACACGTAACACCGTGCTGGTAAATTGCGTAACAGAAAACGAAAGAGGGTTGCGGTGGCGGTAGTAAGAGGGGGAGGGGGTGTAATGGCAGTGCTAAAAGAGTGTGTGTCTCTTCTCCCGCTTTATCTCTGTTTGTTTGTTTGTCTATGAATCTCTCTGTCTTTGTTTATGTCCCTCTCTCTTTCTCTGTTTCTGTCATTGTCAGTTTCTATCCCTAAATCTGTCTATGTTACTATCCCTGTCTGTTTATATCACATTTTATCTCTCTTTTTCTTTCTCCCTCTTCCTCTCACAACCGTTTCCTTCTTCTTCTCCATCCCCTTCCCTTTTAGCTTCCCTTTCTTATATTCCCTCCGCCTCTCAATTCATACTCTCTCCTCTCTCCCTCTCCCTTCTTCTCCGTAC